AGGTGGGGGAAGAGGTTGTAGAAGAAGTTTAAGAACAAAGTCATTAAACCATTTCATTTCAGGGAAGTGTAGTGAATTGGTGAATAGGATTTGCATATGTTATGTAGTAGAGATATAAAGTATGTAGTAAAGTATTTTGCATATGTTATGTAGTAGAGATATAAAGTATATAGTAAAGTAAGAGATGGGTGGAAGTTGACTACTGATTACATGTTGTAGAACAACAAAATACAACACCTCATTGTTTACATACTTAATATAACATTGATTTGAAATACACCTGACTGTATGAAATAAATGTATTACAAGAACAGTTTTTTGCAGCAATGTCAAAAAGTGTTAGTTTTGTTTCTTGACACTGAGTTCAATTGCTCTGAAAGCTGCTTTGAAATGAAGTAGATACTTGATACAGCCATTAACAAATTATCATATTTTCATTTGTTTACTCAAATTACATTATAGGCCAAACGTTCTCCCAAGTAATTTCCCAAGTACAATCATACCAATACAGAGTTTATAGATATTATATATAAAAATGAAACTGTGAAGAGCCACAATTGCCTATGATCTGAAGAGAGATGTTATTATATATAGTTGTTCTTATTGTCAATAATGTACAGGCATGGTGGAGTAATGGATAATGGCTAAGGATTGAGGAATCAGAGAGCCAAGTTCACTGCATTCACTAATGTGATAATACCCTTGGGAAAGGTATTAATCCATCTCCCCCTCCCCTTCAGCTATAGATAAATGGCATGACAAACTGGGCCCTATAACCTTGGTTGAACCATGACAGAACATAATGGACTCCTCAGGATTAGTACAAATGTTTGAAAAAACACAAAACTAGGACAACATAGTATCTCTGATTATGAACCATTCACCCATGGGTGTGTCACCTACAGCACTTTAGATGATTGTCCATAATGGTTCTTGAGTTTTGTTGATAGAGAGTTGGTAAAAAAAACACAAAATAATTTATGATCTTACCCTCCATTGTCAATACTATTTAAAAGACAAAATTTGAAATACATCATTTATTTATTAACTAGTTATATCTGTGGAAATTCTATAAGTGTTTTCATTACCTATTCCTACACTATACCTCCTTATTCACTATTCAATCAACATGATTTCTGCATAGCAACAGACACTAAAAAACTACTGCATTAAACACAACATTCTCATTGGTTAACACCAACCAATGAAATATCTTCCCACTAAAATCCAAATCTTTGGGAGCCAATCATCAGGTATAAAAACCCTGATCCCAGAGAGCCCAACGGGATAAATTACAAAAAAGAATTTCAGAAGCCACACAATTCCTCGTCACTCTGACAAATATCTCCACTATTTGTAGATTTCACATCACAAGAATACCTTATGAGAACACTATTGTGATATCCTGTCGGCACTCCCACATTTTTTAAAAACAACTGGAAGAAAAGGCTTAACCATAATCATTGTAAGACTGACTCAAGATATAAAAAGGCCTCAAAGACATAATTGAGGAAAATAAAATACTGTGATATGCCCCATCCTGAGGATCATCTGCTTGAGGCTGCACCCCACCATTGCATGAGAGAGTGGGAGATTGGTAGTCATACTGATGCCAGTGCAACTGATGGTTGCAGGGGCTGGGCAATTTTTGTGCTTTGTATATGTGCTTGGGTTCCCCACATTAAGTCCGACCTTGTGTTACATCTTGTCCCAGTGGAGACTCCAGGGTAAATAATATCTTCTGCAGCCCATGCCTGGGGAAAATTATCATCTCTCAGTTGTATCTCTGTCTTCAGGCAGAGTGTAGCTCTGTCTGTGGACAAAGATGCAGCTAAGGAAAATAAAATCTGTGGGGTGCCTGGATCCAAGGAACAGCTGTGTGAGGCTGCATCCACCACTAGAGAGAGAAGATTGGTAGTCATATTGATGCCAGTGCAACTAACAGTTGTGGGAGCTTGTCAATTTTTGTCCCTGGCCTGAGTGTATGAGCTCCAGTTTCCCACATTAAACCTGTGTGTCACATCTTGTCTTAGTTGGGAGACTTGGGTAAATACAATCTTCCATGGACAAGATGACTAGGATCAAAGTGTAGCATCTGTTCCAGCAGCCGGCTCACAGCTTCCGCCATCAGCAGCAGTTCCAGCCAGCTATCATTATCACCAGCTCACCATTGGCTGCTGCTCCAGCTATCTTCAGTAGGCTTCAAGCTCCTGCTGCTCCAGTCATCAGCAGCACTTCCAGTGAACCATTATTGTCTGAAGCAACTTGCCATCAGCTGCCATTTCCAGCTCTAGCTATTGTTGCCAGAAGCAACAATATGCAATAAACTGTCCTTTTCAGGACAACACTTTTTTTTTCAGCGACTACAAAACTGTCCTTTTCAGGACAACTCTCTTCAGCAACTACATAACTGTCTTTTTCAGGACAATGCTCTCCAGTGACTACAAAACTGTCCTTTTCAGGACAACTAGGGAAAGTTTTTGTGTGTCCAATGGTAGATAGAATTTGATCAAATTTTTTCTTCAATGGCTGTGTGCGATAGCAGTGATTTCAAAACACAGTGAACAAAGAGAAGGGGATCTAGAACTTATTTTCATCATAGTTTTTTTTATATAGAAAGATCATCATTGACTGATGCATTGTCATGGTAACATGTATCGCAGTTGAGCTGGTTCACTGACTGTTCCATTTTAGATTTTGTCCCTGACTGATCTGTTTCAGATCTGTTACTGACTGCTTATGGTGAGTCATTGATTTGCTGAAAAATTCTCAAGAATTTAAGAGTTTTGCATGAGAATGTACTCAGTAACCCAAGCTCTGAAATATTTTCAGGTCATTTGGAGTTCAACTGTGTGTACATTGTAGAGAGCACATAACATGACTTCTTGTATCTAATCAGTTTCCAAAAACCACTTATTTAATTTTGGAGCTGTGTTTGAACAGAATTGTAAAAATTTTTCACATCTACTGAATTTAGTGAGGTTTATTTGAGGGCATCTCTTACTTGTTTGTGCTTCACTTATTAGCCATAAAATGTATGAGTTTATATCCTATACAGGGGCCGACACTATTTTTCAGACACTTTATTTTTTCAAGTTTTAGGTAGCACAGGCAGTCTGTACTGTTTTAATGTAATGGCAATAACATTTAAAAACTGTTTCAATACTACAAATAGAAAAGCAGAATTCAAATTAGAAGTATTTTTATTTTTTTACAAATTTTCATATTACACAGGCGACAGTATTTTTTGGACATTGCAGAAACAATGCTAATAGTTTACGGCAGCACCCTTTTTTTCAATGACTTCTATCAGTCTATCTTCATAATGTTCGTAAATATTGATAATAATGTCTCTTCATGTTTCTAGCAGTCTATTTTTAGCATCTTGTATGCGCTGCCATAGTTCAGCCTCTCTGGTTATTTCTGGCCTGTCGTAAACAAGCTCTGCAAGCATTTCCCATAGGTTTTCAATTAAATTTAAGTCTGGACTTCTTGCAGCCATTCCAGAGTAGTTATATTTGCTTCACACATCCAATTTTTCACTGTTTGGCCACATGGATGCTGCAGTTATCTTGCTGCAAAATAAAATTACTTCCCATTTCTTTTTCTATGAGTGGTAGGGCTCTCTTTTCCAAAAGTTCTCTGTAGCTCAAGCTATTTTGACGTCCTTTTAACTACTCGAGCCACAAATTTCAATTCAAAAACACCATACTGCAAACCATGACTCCTCCTCCTCCCATCTGTCTCTTGTTGAGAATAACAGGTTCACCTTTTCTCGACCATGTACACCACCCATCAGGTCCATCAAACTTAAAACGTTTTTCATCAGTAAATATCACTTTCTTGAAGTCGACATGGTTTGTTATCCATCTTTTGCCGCTTCCCAGCCTTGCCTCCGTGTGTTTTCTCGTTAGTGCAATTCTTTTCTTGATTTTAGCATACTTAAGTCCAATTTCATGTAGCTTTTTTTGTACAGTTTGAACACTGACGTCAAGTTCACACTTCTCCTTTACTTTCTTTGCTGTCACCTTTTCTCCAGATGATAACAAACTCATAACACTCCTCTTCATTCTTCTTTCTGTTCTCTTGGAAATTGTTTTTTCTGTCCTCTCTTCTTCTTCTTCCGCTCATAGTCTGTACTTTGCATGTATTTAACTGTTGACTTCGGTAGCTTCATCTCAGCGGCAATCTTTCGGATACTGAGCCTGTCTTCTCTCTTCTTTTGGACCAAACTGATGACTTCTTTTGAATGCATTCTTCAGGATTTTAATACGTTTTCGCAGTGAATGGTAAAGATACTCAAATGTAATGGTCAGGGTACAATTTACCTGCAGAAAATTTGCAAATTGTAGACGTTCAACGACTAAATCATTAAAAACCCGGAATTTGTGTCATGTCCGAAAAATAGTGTCACCTAAGTTGAAGTAAAAATAAAGAAAACATGAAACCAAAGACAAACCCATCAATCAATTAATGGACAGTTACTGCTAAACTACCTACTCATCAACACAAAAGCTCTCAGCAGCAAAAAACACCTTTACGCACACTTTTCAAAGTGTCCCACAAATAGTGTCGGCCCCCTGTACAATGCCCTCCAGTGACTACAAAACTGTCCTTCTCAGGACAACACTCTTCTCACCCTCTACATGAGAGCATGCAGAGATATTTTTGCTTAGTGCACTGTAACCTTATTTTTGTTGATGTATTTTCTTAAACAAAAATAAACTTGGCAATATATATTTTACTCAAGTCTTTGTTTTGTTTGTTGTTGTCTTCCATCATACAATATTTGTTTGCAGGCCAATACACTACCCACAACACTATGAACCTTTCATCTGCTCAACTATGAATCCAGTGGGTCTTTCAGTTAAGTGCATTTCTCATCATCAAAGTTCTATTATGTATTCACTATCATGTTATATTTATCTAACTCAGTAGTAATCTCATATTATTGATTGTAGCAGAAGGAAGAAAGAAAAACCTTCACCAACGGATACAGAATGATGCAACAACAAGAAGAAGGCTACACAAACTCAAAATGTCTACTTTCCTCCTTTGTCCCACAGCTGACCACGACAGTGTTGACAATCCAATTTATTCATTATCTCATGCCTTGTCTCTTTTCTCAACCTGTGACAGTATCTTTTACTTTTTTCCTTTATCAATACCAATTTCTCTTGTATGTACATGTTTTTTTATTTAAATTTCTTACAAGCATGAAGGAGTTTCAGATGCAAAAAAAGCAAAAAAGCAACACATATATTTTTTTTTTGCTCTCTCTCTCCATAAAGAATTTGAATGTATTGTAATTTTAACACATTTTAATTTTCACTAATTATTTATTGATATCCAGCCAGCAAACATCTATTTCTTTTGTCCCCACGTCTTTCTCTCTCTCTCTCTCTCTCTCTCTCTCTCTCTCTCTATATATATATATATATATATATATATATATGTATATATTCATTTAATCTGGTTTTCTCTCCCTTTCTTGTCTGTCTATTTTTTCCTCTTTCACCCTCTCTTCCTCTTCCTTGCATTTCCCAATTCCTCCTTGCTTACTCTTATTATGTAGGTTTCTCGGTCAGAAAGCATGACTGATTCCAGCTTAGAAGAGCTAATGATATGCAATTTGATCTTAGGTAGAACAGTGTATGGTCATACATGCAAATGATAATTTTTCTTAATCATAACCTAGGGTAAATATTCAAAGTGATAATTTTTTCATATTTAGGATTGAACTAATCTTACATGGATTACTGGCTTAATAAACAATTACCTAACATACTTTAAATTATTTTATCCGAAAATGCCTCCATTCTTTTAAGGAATATTTTTTGAAATTGCACCGTTTAAGGAGTATGAGAGAGTTATTTGTCCTTGTTTGGTGACGGAAATCAATGTTAGACATTTTCCGCTGTAACGCAATCTGTGATTGGTTATTTTAGCGTTCAGTCCTTTCGTCGTAGCTTCGGAATTGTTCTTTTTCTTTAGTCGAAGTTAGTCAAGCTTACAATTATGAGTAGCTACCAATTATACAGAAACACAACCATAGGAAATACTTTGCAAGAAAGTCTGGACGAATTAATACAGGTAAAATGTTTCCGCATTGTTTATTTACACCACGGTCAATCCGTTAGAAAAAATATATAACGTCAGAGGAGGTTGGTGTTCTAAAGAAAGAAGTCCGTTGTAACCTAAAACAAAAATTAAAATATCTTGTATTATTTCTCACCTAGAAGAAAAAAATGCTGTTTTGGCAAGGAAAAGAATGCTTTAAACTTTTTCTTAAAAATAAATATTAAGTTTCGAAAACTTATAATTTTTGAAAAACTTTTATCGTACGGTATGAAGAATGACAGTATGATGAATTTGAATTATTTTAAGATTTTTTTTTGTTAGCACCGAAGAAAAATTTATAACTAACTTAAACTAACTAAACTAAAGGAATCACGACTTTTTACTTATTTTATTTTTAAATTTCTAATTTAATTAATTTAAGCCCAGTTTTTGAATTGTATTATAGCAAATTAACATGAAATATTAAAATTGTCTTCAAAATTATCATGAGGTATCGTATATTGCTTTTTTTTTGTTTACACGTTATTACCCATGTGTTTTAGACTTCACTTAAATAATGAAATAAAATTTAATTTAGATTTTGTTGTTGCTTTTGTAAGAAATTGCTACTTATGACAAGACCATAAACTGATTTGGGATAAAATACAAAAATCGCACTTTGTATGGTTCTCCCACACCAGAAAAAAAAAGTGTCATTGTCTCAGAAACTGCTTTTGAGAAGGTAGAGACATTTTTTTTTTTTGTCTTTGGTTCGTTTTTCAAATATTACCTCACTTAAGTTAAATTCCTTTACCTATCCAGTTTTTTTTATTCATTCATAAGTAAAAAAAAAATGTAGAGGTTCGCCTATCGCCCCGTTCATACTCCTTCCTCGTCTTTTGAACAGGAGTTGAGGTTTTTATCCCTTGTTTCCTGTTTAGAATTGGGCTTACGTTCCTTAAATTTTTCTTATTAGCTTTCACTCTTAGTAGCTAGCTAGCACCTTGCGTCTTGTGAAATTTCGCCTTCTTGGGGGTGAAATGATTAACCAAAAAATAAAATAAATGAATGAAAAATGTTGTAATTCAACTTCTGTGATCAATCAGAATTTGTGAAACCAAATTTCACATGAAAAGCTTTGGATTAAAAATAAAAGTAAAAATAGTACTAGTTCCATTTCTGCGTCAACCAAACTTTTGTTTTTTTAACAACTTTGGTCATGTTATTGTTTCCTGAAGTTTTTTAGATTATTATATTTTTCCTATATTTGCTTATCGAAATACAGAATCTTCCATTTTAATGTCCATAACAATTTTTTCTTTTAGTTTTCTTTACCTGCTCTCCTTTAAATTTGAAAAATAGATCAGAATTTAAAACGAAAGATAGCACTCGAAGTGAAATATATCTCTATCTATCTATCAGCACATGTTAAGTATTATGGTTCATGATGAAATGTGCGTGCTATGTTAGAGATGCGAAAAATTCACATGGGCCGCCGCCGTTTAAATAGCAAGTCGCTACCTCCAAAAAGTCGCTAAAAAAGGATACATGTGGAAAAAAAAAACTGCAGAAACTAAATGTAAAAACAATATTTGTGCTAAGTTCGAAGAAAGTTTTGAAAAAATATTTTTATCCTTTTTATTTTAAAGAACCTCGGAAATTTTGGTTAGAAACTGTCTTTCTGGTGTCAACGCGGGACTTGAATTGGTTCGGGAGATTTGGCCGTCTTTTCTTTTTGCGGTGAAAAACATTGACTTGAAAATTCTTGCAAAAATCTGATAATTGTCAGATTTTTAATGATTCTTTCAGGAATCCTGTTTTTTTTTTTGTTTTTTTTTTTAATCGATATCAACTGTCTGACCATTACAGAGTTATCGGACAAAAAACTGATCCTTTGGGAGAGGGTGTTGCAAAAAGAGTTTTCTTTTTTTTTTTTTTTTTAATAAAGAACATGTGGATATATCTTTTTATTTTATTTATTAAATTAAAGACAAAAATTTATGCAAATATCAGAAACATTTTTTTTATTGTTTTTATGATGAACAGGAACCCCTTTCTAATATGATTAGATTCTGACAAATTGTAATGTAAGGAAGATTTGGATAATGCTAAAATTTAGCAGCTAAATGTATTAAAAATTACCCCCCCCCATTTTTATTTATTTTTAAACAAATTGACCACTCTAATTAGGGTAAATTTGCTTAAGCTCCGGGCAAAATATCTATAAAAAATTTCCCAAATCGTCATATTTCCGTGTTGAACTCGAATTAACAATTAAATTGTGAAAAATGGAGGATGTATTAAGTGAATGTCAAATCGTTTAATTAATTAATTACATTTGTTTTGAATTATAATTTTGATTACTATTTTTTCCAGTGTGGTCAAATCACACCACAACTTGCTCTGAAAGTGTTGATCCAATTTGATAAGGCAATCAATGCTGCCTTGGCCAGTAGAGTTAGAAACAGAGTATCCTTTAAGGTTTGTACATTTTTACTTTTTATTTCCTTTCTTCATTCACCTGCTATCATTAGATGACAAAAATGCTTGAAATTTTAAAGTTCTAAATTTTCAGATGGTAGCTTCTGGTTAATTTACACAATTTGTTTAACATTAAAATAATTTATTTATATTGTTCAGACTGTTGTCTTCATCTTTCTCATATTCACATTTCCAAACTGAACCTTTTATTTTGTCCACCGGGATTGTTAATGCCATGCCTCAGTTATCTCCCTTTAGCCTCACCACTGCAGTTGCCAGGTATTGAACTCACAACACTTTGGATGGAGTCACTGGATCCAACCAATGCTTTTATCAACTGGGGGTGTATGAATCTTTGGTACTTATAAACTTAATTTTTTGGTAACTTTTTTTTTTTTTTTCTAACCAGAGCTCATATTTTATTTATTTTTTTTATCTTCCAGTGATGTTTTGTCTATTATTTCAACCTCGTCCCACAGGGAATGGTGTTCTCCCTTTTCCCTCTATATGTGGTCAGCTATGCCTGATTTTTCTATTTCCCCTCATGTTATGACTTTACGATGTTCCCTTAAGGGGTTTGCCTTTTTTTCTTTATATTTGTTACCACAGCTGCATGGGATGGTATACATGTTCTCCTCTGGAGGAGGGGGGACTCTTACTTGGAAGAGTTATCTGTAAAGTGTTCAACCACTTTTGAAGGTCATCCTGATGTCATATGGACCAGAGACCTTTTGTACTTTTTCTGATAATCCTTTCACATAGGGTAGGCAGACTGAAGCTGTTTTCTGAGAGCTGTTGCCCTCTTGTACTCTTCTATTCCAGTTTGTCAGAGCTGCTGCCATATACTCAGGATAGTTGTTACATTGTAGGCTACTGCTTATAGTTACACTTCTTGTTCATATGTCTCTGAGTCACCACTTATGACTTTTGCTTGATGTTGTGAGCCATGGACGGTCACTTTCTTTATGGGTGGTGGGAGTTGAGGTATTTTCTGGTGAATGTTGGTTTGCGGTATACAAATGTCTTGAACACCTGCTCTGTTTGAGATATTAGTACATCCAGGAATACTAGTTGTCATTTTTCCTCTCCATTGAGAACTGTATCAATGATCTTATCGAGTTCACATGGTCCAGTAGGTGTATTTTCTGTATCTGTCATAAGGTTAACTTGAGTGATGTGGATTCTAGTGCCATTTCTTTGCAGTATTCCATGTATATGTTTGCCATTGCTGGTGATAATGGTGTGTCCATTGCTAAGCCTTATATATATATATATATATATATATATATATATATATATATATATATATATATAGAAATAATTCCAAGAGGATAGAATCCAGGTAGAACTCAATGTCCAGGACAGAGTAAGGATATAATAAAATGGCTTAAACACTAATATTCCATGGTCATAATTTATTACATTGGGATCATAAATACGATCCAATTCATCAGACCTACAAATTCCAAAACTAAATTTAATCAACTTTATGGAAGGGTTTAAAGGTATCATTAAATAGGTTGAGTGTGATATCCAAAAAGTTGACTATTTTCAGGTTGGAACATATTTCAATCTTAAGGCCCTAACTATCTTGTTAGCTGGAAGTCAAGGGACCATTGCTATTAGGGACAAAGATTAGGCTGTCATCTCTATAAATACTGACTTGGTTAAGGCTAACTACTCTACTCAAGGTGTCTAGAATATATATGCCCACTAAATCTGCAATTTGGGCAGAATCGAAAGCTCCCATAGGTACATCGAAACTTTCATTATTCTTCTTCACCCAAGTAGCATCATTGTATGTAAGTATTGATCTTCTTGACGCTAAAATTTTGAATTTGTAGGTCTGATGAATTGGATTGTATTTATGATTCCAATGTAATAACTTATGACCATGGTGTACTAGCGTTTAAGCCTTTTTATTATATATATATATATATATATATATATCTGATCCCATTCTGAAGTGTGTCTGTGTACAGAAAGTCAGCATCTCTGTCAGGTTATCTATTGGTATACTGGCGCATTTTCCTAGGGATAAGTCCGAGGCCAGTCTGTTCCTGACTATTGATAATGCCTCCTCTATGGGTTCAGTTTGAAATTCCAATCAACTGAAGAAGGATAGATTGTCATGAATATGGCCACAAAGATGAGGACAACAGGCCAAACAATATAAATAGTGTAAATAATTGCAATGCCTCATCTCAGGAATATAAACAAATATTAAAATGATTTATTTGGAAAAAAAAATTTTGAATTGCATGGCATAATTTCCATGGTCAGAAAATTAATTTCTTTATTCTACCACCACTCTCAGCCTGTACTATGGGTGACATAAATAATAAAAATATTTTTATATCAATTGGTGTAGATTGAAATAAAAGTGGATAAAGCAGCCATTTTTACCTCGGCAATTAAGATAAGTTTGATAGACTGCCTGTGGTGTTTCTATCAATTGGAATGTGTAGAGTGGAGTGAAGATCTGTGTGTAGAAGGGTAGGAAAAACTCAGTAAAACTCTTTTTTTTTTGTTTTTAGGCTTTATTTTAATGATTTATACAACTTTAGGAAATTATTTTTAAAATAGAAGTATTTATTAAATAAAATAAGAAATCTAACTATATTCCCATAAAGTAGTACAGCAGTTCACAAATAATTTTCAAATTTGATGCAGTTTAATTCTGTGATTTATCATGGAGGCTATCAAATACATCAACAAAATAGTCTAAGTTAATTCTCTCTGCTTACAAACTTTCAGTTGCTTACCACCACCACATAAGACAATGATAAATGAGGATGAGGAAAAATAAGTTAATGCATTTTTCAGTATGAAAGTACTACAAGTATTCTCAACTGAAATTCACTTTCATCTTATTTTACAAACTGATAATCCATTTTGCCTTTTCCATAAATACAGCTGTATTTTTATTAATTTTTTTAATGGATACCTGTATTTGAGTAGATGCCCTGTTTACTTTCTAAACAGTATTTTTGTCTCCCGACCTGCACATTCAAGAAACGATAGATTAAAAATAAATCCATTAATTCTTTAGAAATTGCTTTGTTTCAGATAGAAAACTGAGTAGTTATGACTTTTGAAGAAATCTGAATGAGTAAAATGTGCTTTAGACAAATAGAACCTTGCTCTTCATATCTGAGTGGTTTCTCCTACAAACAGGGGTGCAAGTTCAGAGGGCACATTTTCTTTAATACGTTTTACAAATATGCAGACTGGTAGTTGAAAAAAAAGTACTGTTTAGAATATAAATGGAGTGTCTACTCAAATATGAGACAGCCAACTCTGACACTCATGGTAGTTCAAGTACAATGAATGTTTTTCAGGCATTATAAAACCAAGATTTGCAAAATTTGATGTTTAATAATTTCTCACCTGCCAGAAATAGTTTATTGGTGTAGAAATATTAGTGAAATCATTGGGTGGTTCAAATTTGTTATACAAGATTGTATATGTGATGATTAGGATGAAAATTTTGCATATCCCCTAATTATATTAAGTTTTGCCTGTCTCCAGTGTGTTGGGAAGTTCTAAGGATTTAAGGAAAAATTGGAAGGTTGGTAGATTCAACTTGTTTTAATATTGCTTTTACTATAAGTTATAATTCTCCATGTATTTTTTGAGTTGAATTGTTTCCTTGAATGGCAACTCATTAATCTTTATGCATTAATGTGGGTGTCCTCCAGGGCTCTATCTTTGAACTTACTTTGTTCCTTATTTTCATCAGCGAAGTTCCTGATATCATCAGTTCCAAACACTATCTATCTGACACAACTATTTCCTCTTGCCTTAACAGTAAGTCTGTTTGATGAAATCAAATTGGCAGCTGATTTCCAAAATAAACGTCAATCTGTTGACTGGTGCAAGAAATGCTTAATTTTTAATGACTCCAAAACAAAACTTCCAATCATCTTAGAGAATTTTTTTCCATAAGCATGACTGATGCTAGGTTCCAGGAGAGCAACTTGTTGCACTTTCTCAGTTTCATGTTTTCCATTGACATTAAGTGGAACATTTATATTGAATTAATTGCTATGAAAGTCTGTCCACTGTCATGCCAGATCATTTTTCTCACAAGAATCTATCTTGCATATTTATGTTTACTATTTGTTCATGCATTTAATATTGTTGCCATATCTGCTCTGGTGCTTCTGTGCTATATATATATATATATATATATATATATATATATATATATATAGAATCTCAAGAGATTCTTGACAAAATCCAAACAATCTGCAAAATTGTCAGTCCTGATCTAGCATCTTGGATTCCCTTACTTTCCCCTTTGCTGTAACATAACATCCCTGTGACTTTTCTGTAAATGTCTTCATGGTAATTGTTCTGATAAACTTTTCTCTTTAGTATCTCAACTTCATGAATTTAAGTGCAGTACTATGTTGGCAGTTAGGTCTTCAATAATTTTCACTGTCTAAATTACTAGATGTAACTGTTAATTGTTTCTTCTCCTGCACTTCTCGTTTGTGGAACTCTCTTCCAGTTTTTAGTCAATGACAATTGTCAAAAGATTTTAAATGCATCCTCAATAGTCATCTGTCTTGAATGTTATTGTTTTATTTTTCTTGGTTTCTTTCACTCTCAGTAACCCCCTTGCATTTTAGTAGCTTTTATCACCTTGCTTGGGAAATCCGATGAAGAGAGTAAATGGTTAAAATAAAATGATTGAGGACCAGTCTTACAGGGGATTGTTTTCATGGCATTAAAAAAAGAAAAAGTTATGTGCCACATCTGCAAAAATTTACTTCCAGATGTGTTCTTTTCTTATAACCTGTACAGGCTGCAGCAAAAGTGTGTGTGTGTATATTTACCTGTTTTATGAAATATATAATAAAAGTGAACTTTTTAATTTTGTGCCTGAAGAGAGAAAAAGAAAAAAAAGTATTATTTTTTTTTTTTTTTTTATATTATTATTTTCCATGACACTGCTTTTATTTTTAACTATTCTTAGGCAATATTTGTTTTAAAAAGCGATGATTAGAATTTTAATAAAACCTAAACATATGAAAGTGGATTTATACATTTTTCTTTCTTCTTGAATTTAGAACAAAAAATATTGAACACTATTAGATTGTTTATAAGAATTTTATTTTTACAACATTCTAAAAAAAAAAAAAAGCTAATACAATTAAGACTGATAATTATTAGTCTTAACAATTGTATTAGTTTTTTGTTTATTTTTTTATAAATTTTGCATTGCATTAGTGACTAATGCAATATCTATCATTTACCAATTTATAAAGAAATAAATATGAAAACAATTTTTTATTCATAAATTTATAAACATTTGGTAAATATATGAACCGACTATAAGGAAATCCTCATTTGCTATTTTATAAAGTTTGGATCAATTGTCAATTAGCTGATGTTTTGCCAACCATTCCAATAAGCAATAAAGTGTAAATCTAAAGTGTTTATTATTTTTGTTGACAATTCACAAGAACAAAGAAAATGTATAAATTCACTTTTATATGTTTAGCTTTTATTACAATTCTAATCCTTGTTTGTTTTTTTTTTTTTGTTTGTTTTTTTTTTTTTTTTTTTTTAAACAAGCATTGATGTGAAGTTGTGTTGTGGAAGGGGAGTCCTTTTGGCACTTTTTAAAATTTTTTATAAACTCTTAAGGCAAGAACTAATTGTTTTCATTTTCTTTTTATTACCAGGGTCACCTTAACACTTACCGGTTTTGTGATAATGTATGGACATTTGTATTAGAAAATGTTGAATTCAGAGAAGTACACGAAATTGCCAAAGTAGACAAAGTGAAGATTGTCGCTTGTGATGGAAAAGGAGAACCCCAAAAGTGAAAGGTTTGTAAGTCAAAACTTCTTTTCAGCAATAGAAAAACTTCTTAGTCATAATTTTAGGCTAAAGGGGGTTACCTAATATGTATCTGTACTTATTTGAATTACATTTTTTATTTTTAATTAAACACCTATAATCAAATTTGACTAAATCTTAATTCTACTGACATCAGTGGGGCTATACAAAAAAAAATTAAAGTTACTAAATGTTATTTTGCACTGTATTCAAGAATACAAATAGAAACCAAGTTTTAACAAAGTATCCATTTAGAAATGAAAATAGCATTCTTTTTTAATATTGGAATGAGTGAAGACTTTTATACAATTGTAGAACATGTGAAATGAAACTCCTCTTTACTGCCAAAAAAATAAAAGGTAAATGGAAACAAACTTCACTTACTACAATTTCATAAAGATTTGTCACTATAGTAAACTTGTCAACATTCTTCTATTAGCCAGGGATATGCCAAAGTTTATATGTGAACTGTTTGAAGTCTTGTATTCCTGCAATGTATACAGCTTGGTGTAAAAACCAGCCCAAGTCCAATGTTATACCTTATAGCACAGATATTAACATTGATAAATCCTTTGCCAAGGGAAAGAAGAAAATTGTCAAATTCATAGCTATAGTTCTAAAACTTGTTGCAGATATTGAAGTTAATGAGATCAAAGATACTGGACAAATGTAGAAGTTAGGTATTTGAAGAAAAAGTAAATACACTGAAGTTCTTTAAAAAAAAAAAAAAAAAAAGAAAAAAAAGAGCATTGTATATTGGCCTTTATGAAAAATTCAATGAAGCCAGAAAGAATAGACTGAAAGTGAACTTTGACTAGTTGTATATGTATGTATGAGCAAATACATGCTGAGCTGACATGACATTTTCAGTGAAATGCATTCAAAAGACCCTGGCCAAGCTGTAGATGGTCTCATTGAAAATATCCTATTTTGTGGTAATTTAAAGAAACAGACTAATTCCCTATTAGAGGTTCATAAATGTGAACATACACTTTTATTTATTTATTTTTTCTTTTAACCTAGGATGATTTTAAAATATTAAAGCAGTTTAGTTACATTTCAAGTCACCTTTTTAAAGTGCCAAGCAACTTGTGTACTAATTCTTGTGCAATCTGTTTACTGGTCAAAATCTTGAGTTGAATATTGAAAGAAAGGGGGGAAAAAGAGAAAAACTCATGTAGTTGACTTGAGCACATTTTAACAAACCACTTATTCCCATTGGGACAATTCCAGTTCATATGAGAATGTTTCACTGGTTTGTATTGTTGTAGTTTTGTATACAGAAATCTCTCGATTAGTGCAGCTAATCTAATGTATATATTAAAAATATGTACTAATTGAAAATGCATCAATCAAATATAACTTATAGGAAATGTAATTGTTATATCAATTAGTCTCGTTCACAATTAATTTCTAATTTGCATATTTTTTAATTACAATATAGGTACATATAAGAAGATACAATAAAAATACCATGAATTAATGTCTATTAATCTGATATTTTTTTGAAAACTTATTTAGAGTGGTTTGAAGCATGGTATTCTTCTGTTCTTCATATAATTGGCAGTACTGAGAAATTGCTCCTATCAATATTCTAAACATATCATTAGTATTTTACGCTGAAAATTTTATTTATAATCTTTCCATAGTAAATGCATACATTTTATGTTTTGATATATTTTTTTAATAAACTTAAATTTCTGTATCTAATTAAATTTTTTTTTTTTTTATACACAGATCAGAAATTTTTTAAGATCTTCAAAATAAACATGAAAAAATAATCAATATGTATTTTTATTGGCTTGTATTATAAAATGTATGTATTTATAATGTAACTGTTTATTTTATTTATTTATTTTTTTTTTTGTACACTACTGTAATTAATTAGATAATGTAATATGAGATAAACAAAATAGTTACCCATTTTTAAATTTTCTAAAATTTTAAATTAATCAGTAACTATAAAAAAACATTAATTTTCAATTACTGTGGTTTAACTGAATGTTTTACTGCACTAATTGAGTATCATGTATGCACTAATCTAATTTTGATATATAAAAATTTCAGAATACTAATTGAGTGTGCATTAATTGAGGGATTCCTGTATTTTTCACCAGTCTTAAATATATACATGGTTAGTAATGTTGGTGTAATTATATTTACATTTTTAGTGATTTTTCTCTTGATAATAAATATTGAGAATATTCCAGTCAGTTCTCTTAAGCAGTGGGCTTGCAAATGAAGATTTGACATTTTTGGAACATTTCCTCAAGTGATATATGCTATATCTAGTGTGAAAAAAGACTGTTTTGGAATTTTAGAATTAGTTTTAACTGTGTTCTAATTCCAAATATTTGTCAAGTTATGACTGAAGTTAAAATTTGTGCATATTTTATTTACTTTTACATTATCAGTTCTCGACAATTTGATTTTTCTGCTTCTTGTTGTTAGGAAAGCTTTTGGAATCTTAATGAAATGAATGTGACGCAGGTTTAATTCAGTCAAATTAATACTTTTTTTTTTTTTTTTTTTTTTGCCTGTTTTTGTCTCTGGTCCTTCGCACCCTTAACTTTGAATTTTAACCCCAAAAATGCCTTAGACAATTTTTTTTTTTTCCTTTTTAGCATAAATTCCCAAATATTAAAACACTTTAAATCTGCAAAATATAAGAATTCTTCAGATGGTCAAATTAGTATACTGGTTTCAATAAAGTTTCCATTCTGTGAACATTAGCTATTAATGTTTACTGCTCTTATTCCTTAGACTACAATTGAACATATACTGAATATACATAAAGAAAAAAAAAATTGGCATTAATTTTTAGATAGTTCTCAAAGTTTCTCAACCTTTCAAAATTTCATTGATATTTCCAACATTTTCTTTTAGGCTGATATATAATGAAGGAATGTGTATATTTTTTTTCTTTTATCTTGAGTTATATATGCATATTTGTATCTATTTCTATTAAGCTTTGACTTGCTGTCTTTTTCAGATGCAGGGACCCCTGCTCCCCTCTTTTTTTTTTTTTTTTTTTTTTTTTTTTTTTGAGATGCAGAGAAGTGGGGAGAGAGGAGTCTTCATTTTTTCCCTCCTCTCCTTTTCTAAGTCTTATAACAATAAAATGGTCTGAATTTTTTTTTCTTCTTGAATGTGGAGTGGGGGGGCCCTGATCCACAAAATACTCTTCTTTCAGCTTGCAATTTTCTCTCTCCCCTCTTCATTTCTGGTCTCACTTAAAGTTCTGGACCTTACCAAGATTGGACATCAGACATCATATGACAATAGTTCATCCTTCAAATAATGAGCCTCTGCTTTTTATTTGATTCTAAATCATATTTCATGTATAATTCATTATTTGTATAAAATATGCAAACTCTGTGCTTAATGACAATTTTGTTTTTTTCTGTTGACAAGAAAAGTTTGGTTGCTTCTCTTAAAATATATTGAATGTTTCAGTGTAACTGCACTCTTTAAACTTTTCTGTTGGTTATATTTGTTTTATTAGACAAGATTAAGATCTTTTTAGCAATGCACTTATATATAGGCTGTAATGAATGTATACACATGTGGTTGCATCTACTCTCTTACAAGTATTAGCAAAAAATAATTTGTATAGCCAAATTTTGTTACTGAAATAAAACCTGGTATATAATTTGAGTTCATATTTTGAAATTTACTTTTAGCAGTAAAATAGGACATAACGAAACTTGTGCATTATTGTGTATGCTACAATACTGAGCAATTCTTAAAAACATGTCTGAATATGAATTTTTATTTCAATATTTGTTTCTTGTATTAGAATGTATTATAATATTAATAAAGAACTTTTGGGAGGTAGGTAATGTAAGTTTAGTTTGTCTTTTTCTCAATATTCAGATGCTAAATACCAGCAATGTTTCACCTTTGCCTTAAATCAAATGAATTCAAATCATGCATTGTTATTTATACTTAGTATATGATATATATTTTTTACAAGTGCATGACTATTGGTATATAGTTTTTTTTTTTTTTTTTTTTTTTTTTTTTTTTTTTTTTTTTTTTTGTTTGTTTTGTTTTAAACTGAAAGTAAGAATGTTGGTGTAAATAGTTGAATCATAATTAGAGAAAACCTTCATGTGATTTTGCTGAGGAAGATTGCAATAAACATGGCCTTGTACTAAGAAAAAGTAGTTATCAGCTATTTTTTCCCTCCTTCTTGTGAAAGAGCAGTAAAGAAATTTACCAACATAATGTCTAGCACAAAATAAAAGATTTCTTTGATTGCTTGTCACCTAACAAACCTTGGAATATTATTCTAGGTAACTCTAACAGTTCCCAAACCATTGATAGTGAATTTGATTATCACAAATGGTGTCACTAAAAGAAATACAACTAGTTTATTTTTATAACAATATATAATAGTCTTAAAACGAATGACAGCCAGGTTTCAGCAGCTGTAACAAAAATGAAAAGCTTAGGAGAGTGCAATCATACATGACAAGCAGCAGTAGCACTCATCAGCAGGCAGGTTATAAGGCTCCATGTTATCCAATTGTCTCATGGGACAATAGTTTAGTGGATTAAAGCATTGGTTCAATGAATTTGATGACATAATTGTGTTCAATCCCTGGGCTGGGTATTGTGTACTTGTCCTTTGTATAACAGGACAAGCAATAACTGAGCAGTACTAAAAAATAACTAACTAGACAATATATCCCTAGATATGTGAATCAAGGACAGTCTGGTAGATGAAATGAAGAGTTCAGTTTGAAATTCCCCTGTAATCTGGATCGACATACACCTGGTGGAGGCCAGAGGGCACAACGGTAGAAAATGTGATTACAACAAAGAGGACAATGGTCCACATGTAAATAATAAAAGCAACAGTATGACCTAAAAATAAATTTATTATAGAGGTTTTATACAAGTATTATAATATAAAAAGAAACTGATTTGAATATTATACTGCAAATTCCTCAGATTTAATTCCACAGCCTCATGTATTTAGACAATCAGTATGGTAAAAATGTATGCTGTCATCGATGTTTAAAAACTTTTTTTATACAGGGTGTGGCAGAAATACTTCCCACATAATGGTAAGATATCAGCTAGAGGAAGACGCAATTGCCACTGTTTTACCATTATGTGGGAGTTATTTCTGCCACATCCTGTAGTTCTTTCTTAGAAACAACATCAACCCTTCACAAATTGAAATCCTTGCTCACACAAATAACCTTCACCAAAACTTATTTTGATGAAAAATATACAATTTTACCCCCCCCCCTTTTTTTTTAAATGTAACTAAATTTTGTGTGATAGTAGATTGCTAATCTGCAGGCAGAAAATCTTGCATTATGTGTTGAGATTCTTAATGCTGTGTTAGTAACCTTGGATTTTCAAAAATGGATAGTACCTTGGTGTCTTCCTACAACACCTGCGCTACATTGTGTGCCACACATTCTCACCAAGTCAGGAGAATAGTGGGAAGGAGCAAAAGAAACAAGTTGCCAACTAGGAATTATGAGTACTTGAAAAATTTTGGGGGTAACAAAACACCCCATGTAACTGACACAGAGTTAAGTAGTCTTAAGGCAGAAAAATCTTTAGTTTTCATGGCTTGAAAAAAAGTAGCCATTGAGTAATGTTCCAACTTTTATTCATATAATGTAGGGAAAATAAAAATGTCTGTACAACTATTATTTTTTTTTTTTTTTTTTTTTTTTTTGCAATGGATTTGAAACATTGCACACTTTGGTAAACAAAATAGCAAATTTTTTTCTTTGAGTCAGAAACCAACTTAAATTTGGGACTTTTTCTTTTATCGTCAAGTTTAGTACTTTAACTTTGTTTTTAACAATTACATTAAGAGACAGAAACAATAGTCAACAATAATGAAAGAAATTACTTAACTCATCAGAATTCAATTTGTTTTGGGGCTGATCTGAAGAGGAAAACTAGATTCATGTTTCAATATAAAGATATGAACAAGGAAAGCAAAAACATCTATCACTGAAGAATTGGATTCATAAATTGAAATAATGAAGACACTTTCTTCCTGCATAAATTTATTTTTATCACTTTATTAGCAAGTAATCACTGGGTGAGAGTGACTGTTTCCCATAGCATGGGAAACATTCAAATGAATGATTTCTCTGTTCTGGTTACTGGTCATCAAGTGTCTCTTTAGGGAAAGACTCAAGTAGAAAATTCATATATACAAATCCATGCAGGATCAACATCACCAGGAATAGATTGGTTTAAAATTGGGGATTTAAAAAAAAAAAAGAAAAGAAAAAGTCTATTGAATTTCAGCACCAAAATTTAACAAGTTGCAGATGAGATTGAGTGATGTGAATTGGTGATTTAGTAAGGTATGCCAAAAGATTTTTTAAAAAGAAAAAAAGTAGGCTTTTTGGACTTGCCCATTATTGACATAGAAATATCCATTCTTGCATACAAAATTATTAAAGATAAAATTTTTATATATATATATATATATATATAGCAATTTCTAAAAATATTTTTTTTAAATCCAACATTTTTATTACTCCCAAAATTATTTTTAGTGGATGTTCCCATCTGAGTAGCCACTCTTTATTTCAAACAGTATGTATTGTCTACACTGGCCTGCATACCAGAGAAAACTTTAAAGGTAAATAGAACCTTGCTTGATTGTGAAGCTCTTCACACCCAAGAGGTTAAATGACACTTAATCAAACGGTGTTTTCTCCTGAAAATAGGGATGCATATTCAGATCCCTTCCCAAGGGCACATTTATCATTAATAAGTTTTTCCCAGTATGCAGGCTGGGAGGTAAAATAGTTTATTTTAAACTGAGTCTATTCAAATATGGATACCCATTAAAAATAACATTTGAAGTAATAAAAATGTATATACAGGTTGTGGCAGAAAAGCCTTCCATAAAATGGTAAGACATCAGCTAGATGAAGACACCATTGTCTTTAATGTTTTCCCATTATGTAGAAGGTATTTCTGCTGTACCATGTATATATAATGCTTACAATAAGCTTAGTTCTGGCACAAGGCTGTAAGTGTGGATCATCTACTAAAGAGTGAATTCTTTATTGTCGTAAGGGTGTGCTAAAAAAAAAAAAAAAATTTCCTTTTTCATGGCGAAGCACTATTTACATATATGTAAAATATCTTGTCCATGTGATTGAATGAGCTTTGATTCTGTGGTTAATATTTACTAAGACAAGCAATTACTAATAAATCAGGCTTTTTTTTTTTTTTTTTTTTTTTAAGAAAAAAAAAACACTGATGATAGCCAGATTTTAATTTTTCAACTTGAAACCTTTGCTATGCCATCAAGTGGGAGAAAGATCAAAATGAATGCTTGTAGAATATGGAGCATTCTTTTGTGAATTATGTTTTTGTTGTTTTTTAGATTTTCTAGTATTACAAAATTAAAGAGAAAGAAAAATACAAAATAATCTTGCTATGTTCAATATGAAATCATTTTACAAAGGAAATAAATTTTGTTCAGAAAATGAGGTTTCATTTAAAGTTTAAGGAAAAAAAAATACACACTTAATACCATCTCCAGTTGATATACAGGTTTATGGATTTTTGATGTCTTAACCTTCAATCTACTGAAGTTTATATTAAGAATGAGTAGATAAATAGCAGTAATCATTAGAAAGATGGAAGAGAAGAGGCTTGCCCAAAGTCAAGACACATTCTTGTACAATCTTTGTTTGCTCATGATGGCAACATAATTTAAATAAGCAGCATTGAGCAATGTACTTAAAGTATAAATTATTTCTAAATCCTTACCAAAAAAAAAAAGAAAAAAAGTCTCTACTAATGACCAACATATTTCTGTTTCAACCAAATATTCATTTTTAATTTTATAAATAGAATGATCACAATCTGAGTGTGTACCTTTAAACTTGCCCAACATTTTGAATTTTAATTAATCAAATTATCAGTCAAACTGTCTTTATTCTTGCTTAAATGTTTACTGTTTTCAGGGCAAATAGTTAACCAATTAAATAAAAATGTGTAGATTTTTTTTTTTATTTGTGGTGAATTTCTCTAGAGATTTACTCATGTGTGAATCAAATTTTCACTTCCATTGCCGCTTTTTAACATGACACATATTGAAAATTTGATGAGACTAGACAAATTCATTAAAATTTATTATTCAAATATAAACAAATATGGATTT